TTTTTAAAAATTAAAAAAAAAAAAAAAAAAAAGATAAAAATAATTTTAATTTATCTTTTTTTTTTTTTTTTAATTAAAGATAAATGAATATTTTCATTTAATTTTAAAATAATGAAGTAAATTAAAATAAAAAGATAAAAACCAGTATAAAAAAAAATAATAGAAATTAAAAAAAAGAAAATAAAAGTAAAATATGAAATAAAATTTTAATCTTTATTTGTTTATATAACTAACTCTTTATGAAATATAAAAATAAAATCTGAATTGATAATAATTAAATTGAACTGAATTTACTTTTTTTACTGATTGTTATTTGTTAATTTAATTATTATAATTGATAGTGAAATAATATATAGTATGAATATACTAATGAGATCTTTAGATTGGTATTTCTTGAAATGGTAGAAAAATGTGGTATTATGAGTTTGATAGTGGTAATTGTTGGTGATTGTTGGTGATTGTTGGTGATTGTTGGTGATTGTTGGTGATTGTTGGTGATTGTTGGTGATTCATTATATTATTGCGGTGGTGGTGATGAGTTAAATAACTGTGAGCTCTAAAAAGAAAAAATGTTATTATGATTTTTTTGATGGATACCCCTGATGATAGTTGATTATTATTAGTTGGAACAAAACCCCTTTGTTTGATTATACACTATTAACATTAAACGTATTGATATTGAAAATAACGGAATAGAACTAAACTAAATAAATAATAAAATGAATATTAGTTTCTTTTATATTTAAATATAAGTTTAATTATATTAATGTTATCATTATATTTTGCTTTCTATTTGATATTGAAATATTTGTCCATTTTCTGAGCTTTAATATGAAGGGTTGAGTTTTATGATGCCATATTTACTACTAAACGTTGATAATGATTTGATTATATCTTGAATTCCTTTTTTTATGGTGTTGTTAACTATTTATAATGTCACCGATTTTAATATGAAAAATTGAATAACGATTTAGTTAATAGTTTCATCGCTGTCAAATTCAATAATTGAAATTAGAATGAAAAGATTTAATTATTATTTCCTCGCCATTGATTTCATGATTAATCGAGATCCATGTAGTCATCAGATTCTTCGGAATTATCAAATGAATTATTATTATTTGTAAAAAATTCATCTGGAAGATAGTCATCTTCATTAAAATTGTATCTTGAAAATGATTGATCATTGTGATCAGAATGGGAATCTGATTCATTATCGGAATCATAATCGGAATTATTATCATTGGAACCATTAACGGATTCATTAGCTTGTTCTAATGGTTCTAATTTGACATCATATATTGATATTTTGACTTGACCCTCTCTCTGCAATATAATAAAGAAATAAATTAAAATAAGTTTTATTTATTATGTATAAATATTAATATATGAATTACTTACTTGAATAAAATAAAATTCTTTTCTGCATAATGGACAAGTATTATTATTTAATTTGCACCATTTACGGACGCATTCATTGCAAAAATTGTGAGAACAAATTTCGATAGTGGAGGTATTGGTGGTATTCATTTTGATATAACAAATACAACATTCGTTATTTTCTAAACTCTCCTTTTCTAATTTTTCTTTTTCGATACGTTCTCTTCTCTCTTTTTCCGCATTTTCTTTTTCCAATCTATCTCTTTCAATACGTTCCTGTTCTTTTTTTTCTTTCTCAACACGTTCTCTTTCTAATCTTTCATTTTCCAACTTTTCCTTTTCAATACGGTCCTTTTCTGCTTTATCTCTTTTTAATTTTTCTTCCTCGGCAGAATTGAAATTTGGGGTATTTGATGAACCTGCACATGTATAACGACATTGGTCTTTGTTATATGATGGATATTCTGATTCTTGATGTGTACTTTTTTGTTGGTTTCTTGATGGAATATCTGTTGGTTTTGGTTCACCTGTGGTATTGAAACGGGAATGAGAACTATTGAATGCTGGGTAATTAGATTGTGCCCTTGATGGTGTATATGGTTGTTGTGGTTGTTGTGGGCATTGTTGTTGAGTCTTGTTTGATGGAGTACCAGCAGCATTAAAACGTGATTTCTCTCTATTAAATGTTGGATAATCATTTGAACGTGTTCTTGGGGAATTTTGTTGTGGGCTTGGTTGCTGTTGTTGTGGGTGTTGTTGTGGTTGATTTGTTTTTGGGAGACTACCGGCATTATAACGTGAATGGATTTGGTTAAAATTTGGGTAGTTTGTTGATTGTTGTTGTAGTTGTTGTTGTTGTTGTTGTTGTTGTTGCTGTTGTAGTAGTCGCTGCAGTTGTTGATGTTGTTGCTCGTTGTTTTCTTTGGAGCTCTTGTTGTTGCTTTAACTCTTGTTCTCTTTGCTTCATTAATTCTTCTTGCTTTCTTTTCTTCTCTTCTTGCTCTTTTAAGAAAGCTTGGTCTAATTGTTGTTGTTGTTGTTGTCTTCTGTTCATTTCTTGTTCTTGTTATTGATTGTTTAATGAAGCGGCAATATTATAATGAACTTGATTTGGGTGTTGTGGGTAGGTTCTTTGATTGCTATGGTTATTGGAGAAGCAATCTTTGTGGTTGGTATTGTGGGTGTTATTGGAGTTGTTGGTGTTATTGGTGTTATTGGTGTTATTGGTTTGGGTATTATTGGTGTTGGTTTTTTTGTTTAAATATTTATTAAAAATAAAACTAAGTGAAATACCAATGATAAAAATAATTAAATCATCCATTGTTGATTAAAATGAATTGTGATTTGGAATATTTGGGATGGTTGAAAATTTTTATTAAAAAAAAAAAATATTGCAGTTATTAAAATATATTATTTTATGGAGTATAATAAAAAAATAAAGCAATATAATTATTTGTATGTTGAAAAAAAAAAAAAAAAACAAATAAAAAAAAAAAAAAAAAAAAAAAAAAAAAAAAAAAAAAAAAAAATTTTTTAGCTTTTAAAAAATTTAAAAAAAAAAACAAAAAATTAAAATTAAAAAAAACATAAAATTAAAATTTAAATTAAAAAAAAAAAAAAATTATTAGCAAATAGAAAATCCTGTTTTCCATACTTTATTAAGATGGAAATGATAATTATTAAATTAATGGGTCATATTTAATATTTAAATAACAACCCTATAAAAAAATCATATTACAAGATATTGGTTTATTTGCTAAAAATTAAAATAAAAGAAATAAAAATATTGTTACAATATTTTTTTCTTTTTTACAATTTTAAAATAATTTATTTGTATTTTTTAACAATAAGATATAATTGATTATTATTAATATTTAGGGTATCCTCTACATTTCTTTATATATTTCATCGATTCGGTAAGGGATTGATTCATATAATGATTATATTATTGATTATATGATTGATTTTTTAATTGACCCGCGTTCATGAAACATCTTTTTTGATACCCTTTCTTTAAAAATTAATTTTCAATTTTATTTTATATCTGAACTGTAGGGTTGTAATGGGTCAACTTGTATATTATTCCTACTGAATATTGTTTCAGTACCAATAAAAGTTGTTAATTAAAATATGTAATAAATGTTTAATCATTTAAATTTATTGTTTTTTATTGTAGGGAATTAAATGAAAATATTTTTATCTTTTTTTTTAAAATCTTTTAAAAAGAAATGAACTTTATTGTGTATATTAAAAATCACCACCATATTCAAAACAATTGAAAAAAAAAAACTTTATATTTTTTCTTATTTTTATTCTAATTCTTTTTTTTTTTATTTTGTCCAAAAGCTTTTTAAAAGAATGGATGAAAATTTTAAAAAAATCATAATTTATTTTATAATAATTTGACGAATCCATTTGAGAAGAAGATATATCCCTCTTCACTTTTTAAATATTATTATTATTATAATTTATTTTTCTTCAATAACTAAATTTGGAGTTTTCTGAAAGCAATAAATTTGAGATTAATCTATTGTTTTCCAAAATAAAAAAAAAAGAAATCGTATTAAATAATATTAAATAAATATTTGTAGATCTAAAATATTTTTTCGAATTATAAATAATATAATTTATTTATTTATTTTTTATAATAATAAAATAATTTGAATAATTAATAAAATTAATAAAATATTAAAATTAAAATTAAAGTTTGAAATTGTAAAGGAACTGTCATCATCTGCCTCGTGGAATGGTGGTACGAAATGAGCAGCCATAATTCTACCTATATAAAGAGACCCTTGATGTTCTGGTATATTTGTTTTAAACTGAATTGAAGTGATTAAAGCATTTTTAAAAGCAAAGAGATCAAAGAATGGAATTGATAGTTCTATCCAACGATTAGCTGGGAATTCACCTCCAACATATTGTGTAATTCCCATGCATGGTAACTGAGCTTGAATAGTCTCTTCACCTAAACATATAGCGGCATTTAATTGTTTTGGAGGAACATTACGTAGTACGTCCTCATTTGATTCTGTATTTTCAAGACCAGGGAACTGATAATTTGGATCTGGTTCAAAATAAAGATCGAATACAAAGCCATCATATAGATTTGTGTTTAAAGTTCCATTTTCCAAAGATATCATTAAATTGTTAAAACTTGAAACTTGAAACTCTATAGTTGTGTATCCCCTATAAAGAGATGCTTTGCTCTTGAAATTGATATTACCGGAGCTATATGTATTATTTGCACCACCTAAAAATTCACCTTTATCGAAATAGCTAATATTGGTTTCATTCTTTAAATCCATGCACACTGTACCGTTTGAGAATTGGATATCATCCAAATACACCATATCCATAAATTCACTGTTGGTACCTTGAATCATAAAACCATCGATCTTGGTAACATTTGAAGGATTAATTGGAATTTGAAATAATGGAATTATAACTTTATACCAAACACCAGCTTCTATTCCACCCAATAAATAATCACCAATATTTGCAATACCTACACGTAACGAGTTATAGGTTAAATAAAGTACAAGACTTTGTTTACCTGAATTGCCACCATTTAACCAGAATGAAAGGTATTTGTGTCTTCTAACAGGGAATGTTTCGTTGGTACGTAAACGGAAATAATCATTACCTCTATTCAAAGCAAAGCCAATACTTGTACCGATTCTTGCGAACTGTGTACTTGGATCACGTACCATGGTGTTTGATTTATCTAACCAATTACCCTGTAGTGTGTCGTTGTAGATATCTATAGGTCTATAAGATGTACAGTTTGAAATGAAATAACCAATTGGTGAGGTGTTCCATTGAGTGAAAAGTTCAGAATCTGATTCACTCGAGCCATTAATACATGGAGCAGATATATAATTAAAGAGGGATAGTTGGGCATGGGTTGGTAGTTTGGTAGCTGAAATACTTTTTTCTTGGTTGTTGGTAAGTGATACATAATAGTTCATTGGTGGGACTGGAATCTTAGCACCACTACTAAAATAGGTACTTTCTATTTTGTTCTTTAATAAAAGTTTATCAAAATACCAGGAAATACCTGTTGATGTATAAATAAAGGTATAGTTGTGAAAAAGAGTGAAATCCGCACCTGGTAATGAGTCAGTAAATTGGACCAATACACCAAAATATGTATAGCCATAAGTAATACTTGTTGAATTACCATTAATTTTAAAAAATACATCTGAATATTGACCTTTACCACCCGATGCAATATATGCTTTTGTGACTGTAAAAAATTTAAAAAAAATATTGGTTAGATTTAAATTTTAAATGTGGGGTGGATGATAATAAAAATATATTTACTTACTTGAATTTGTTGCTGGAGATGGTACAAGATTAAAAGTATAGGTTCCATATGAAAGCTTTTGAGTTGATTCAACCTCAGCACAAGTATAACTATTATTTAAACATTTGCTTGGACATCCTTCATTATCTAGTGTTAGTTTCATAATCTTTTTGGTACCAGCATTAGTATATTGCACATTTTCACTTAATAATGTACATGAGTATGGATTATTTGATATTGATGAAATTGAACTTAAAAAGTTACCATCAGTTGACATATCATCTACAACATCATCACTACATGATATTAACTTTGAACTTGTTGTTACTTCTGATGATTCTTTAATTAAGAAGTCATCTCCATCATCTGATTCTTCAGAGTTTTCACCATCTATTGGTTCATCATCTGAAATATCTGGAATTGGTATTTTACCTTCGCTTGAGAAAAATTCTTCTTCTGATTCTTCTGATGATTCTGAACCCTTTGATCCTTTAGAAACTGGTTTCTTTGTTATTGGTAATTTTGATGTTGTTGAAGCTTTCCCTGTAGAGGTTGTTAATGTTGGTTTTGAGGTTGTTTTAACAGTAGATGTTGATGGTTTACTAGTAGTAGATGCTAAGGTTGGTTTTGAGGTTGTTTTATTTGTTGGTTTTGAGGTTGTTTTATTTGTAGGACTAGGTGTTGATGAATGCAATTTTGATGTTGTACTTCCCATAGTTGTTGTGGTTTTTGATTTACCACCAGTTGTTATTGGAGTTTTTGAAGTGATAGTAGCTTTAGGTTTTTCAGTTTCTAATGACTCATCGGCTTTAGTAGGCTTTGATGATGATTTTGAAATAGTTGGTGTTGGTTTTCCAGTTATAGTTGATTTACTTGCAGTGGAAGTTGGTTCGTCACTTTTTAATGAAGTTGTTGTTTTTGAGGTAGCAGATGGTTTTGTACCAGATGTTTTAGAGGTAGTAGTAGTAGTTGTAGTTGGTGTATGTGATCCATCTTTAGATGTTGTTGTTATTTTTGTAACTGATTTTGGTGTTAATGTTTTAATTGGTTTTAAAGTTATTTTTGGTTTTATTGTTGATTTAGGTGGTAGTGTTTTCTTTTTAGGTGGTGCAAACTGTGGAACTATATTTGGGCCATATGTTTCTGGTGGAGGAGGTGGTAAATCATCAGAATCAGGTTCCTCAACTTCATCACCTTGAGCGCTATCACGTGCTATAAATTCTTCTGAATTTATTATTTGAACATAAGATGAAAACACTAAAAATATAATTAATATACTGTATATTATGACACTTTGATATTTTTTCATTTTTTCCTAATCTTTAATGAAAATAAAATATTAGTATAAAATTCTTTAAATAAAAAAAATAAAAAAAATAAAAAAATACCATCGAAAATTAATCTTTTAATTAAACAAAAAAAAATATTAATTAAAATAAAACAAATAAATATTGATTTTATAATAAAATAAAATTATAACTAAAGTTTATAAAGTTTTTTGTAAAGTTTTTAGTGAAACAATTAATTAATATTTTATAAAACAATAAAATTATTATTTTATTATCATAAAATAAAATAAAATTATAAAACACAAAATAAAATTTTAAAATATAAAAAAATTTATTTTGATTTATGATTATGATTATTGTTATTTTTATTTTAAACAAAAAAATATTAAAACAATTTATTTTAAATATATTGTTTAAAATAATAATTTAATTTTAAAAAAAAAAAATTAAAATAAAATAATAATCTGATTGAAATTACAAATTTAATTAAAAAAAGTTCTAAGTACTGGTACTAATACTAACAACAGCATACATGTACATATATATTATAAAGATTAGCATTTTAACAACACCATTTTATTATAATATTGGAAATTATGTATTGATGATTACCATTAACTTTTTTTATTTGGTTATTTTTAATATATTTTGATAATTTTTATTTTTTATTTATTATTAAGCAGGTGTTGTTATTATTAAAAAAAAAAAAACGACCTAGTATTTAAGTAAAAAGTAATATTACATTTTAAAAAGAAATTCTTACCATCATTAATAAATATCTATATATAAAAGGAATATGTATATATATATCTATAATATTAATATATACATATATATAATTATAAAATACGACTTTTATTATTTATTTATACATACACAAAAATAATCACACATATTTTAAAATATGGTGTAGGGTGTATATGATAAACAACAACAATAATAATAACACATTTTTTAAGAATATATTGTATAAATTCAAAAAAATAAATAATGATAATTAAAAGATTTTTTTTATTATTTTAACCCAAAAAAAAGAAAAAAATTAATTTAATTTTTATGTGTGGGTTAAAAATAAATAAAATACTAAATAAAATAATTTTTCTATATATATCACATTTTAAAGATTTTAAAAAAAAATAGTTGTATTGAATGATTATTTTATTGGCAAAGAGTGATTAAAGTTTTTTTTTAAAATAAAAAAAATTGATTGTGAAAAAACGATAAAAATAAAAAAAAAAAATTTCTTTTTTTTTTTTATATTTTGATTAATTTTCGATAAATTTTAAATTATTTTATTTATTTAAAAAAAATATAAATATATATATTATATTGTAAAATTAATTTAAATTATAATAAAAATAAAAAATAATAATGATATTAATAAATTAATATTAATTGATAATTTAAAAGAAAAAGAACCGTCAACTTCATCAACGTGTGGGGGAACAAAATTGCCAAATTGTAAATCACCAACAAAGAAACCACCTTGATGTTGTTCGACTGGAGTTTTAAATGTTAGACTGGTTACTAAAGCATTTGGATAAACATAAAGATCAGCAAATGGAATAAGTAATTCTACCCATTTATTAGCAGGAACTTGACCACCTAAATATTCAGACAATCCAACACATGGTAAATTTCCAACAACTTGGACAGTAGCACACATTTGAAGATTTAAATAGAATGTACTTTCTGGTAAGTCATCTGAAAAGTCATTACCACTATTTTGATTGTTATAATTTGGATCTGGTATAAAGAAAAAGTTCAATTTCATTAAATCTAACTCGGCTGTATTGATTGAACCGTTCATAAAACTAATAACTGCAGTTGATCCTTGGAAAAGTTGATACTCTATGGTTTTAAAACCTCTAAATAACTTTGAAGTACTATTGAAATCAACATTATTAACACTATAAACACCGGATGCACCATTAGCCAATTTACCTTGATGATAATAGGGTACTTCAGTTGATTCATCTACGCAAACAGTACCATTTGAAAAGTAAATATCATCCATGAATACCATATCTAAGAAAGCATCACTTGTACCCTGAATAATGAAGCCATCATAGGTTTTAATAGTTGGTGGATTAATGATAACCTTACCCATTGGGATGATAACTTTATACCATGTATTTTTTTGAAGACTACCATGAATATAATCACCTATATTAGCTTGTCCAATTTTCTTGTCACCATTTGTCAAATAAAGGGCTAAGCTTTGATAACCTTGATTACCACCATTTATCCAAAACATTATATATCTGTGTCTATTTATTGGGATAGAGCTATTAAAAGATAATCTAAAGTAGTTATTGGCATTATTTAAAGCAAAACCAATGCTGGTACCAATTCTTGCATATTGAGCCATATTATTTGTACTGTTTGGGAATTGAACTAAACATTTTGATTGGTCTACCCAACCATCATTAAATGTATCATTGAAAATTGGAATTGGTCTATAGTTGGTGCAATTTGAGGTAAAGTAATATAATGGTGAATCCATATTGTTATTCCAATTATTACCATCACTACTGCTATCACTTGAACACATATCGGAGGTATAGTTGAACATTGAAAATTGAGAGAATGCTGGTAAGTTTACTGCTGGGATTTTTAAGGTTCCACTATTAGTTACAGAAGCATAGAATTTCATTGGTGGAGTGGGAAGTTTAACACCGTTATAAATAGACGATTCTACCTTGTTTTGTAAAAGAATATTGTTATAATAAAAACTCAATTTTCCACTAGTATATATAAATTTATAAACTTGTTCTAAACTAAAATCAGTACCAGTTAATGTGTCTGAATAGGATGTAGTTTGACCAAAATAAGTATAACCATAAGTTAATTTAGTTGAGTTACCATTCATTTGGAAAAAAATATCAGAATATTGACTTTTACCACCTGATGAGATATAAACTTTTGTTACTTTTGAATTTAACAAAAAACAATATATTAGTATTTATTAATTAAAATATTATTCATTAATAAAGCTTTGAAAATACTTACAGACATTTTTAACAGGTGATGCAGCAACTTTAAATTCATATGTTCCATAGTCAAGAACAGTACTGTTAGTTGAGATTTCTGAACATGAGTAACTATGTGATAAGCAAGAAGTTGGACAACCAGTACTTGATATTGACAATTTTGCAAAATTTCCTTTGGTTGATGATGAAAATACAGCATTGGAGCTTGATAATGCGCACTCATATGGATCGTTGCTTGATGTAGATACACCAATATCAAAGCTACTTGATGAACTAAAATCATTAAAATAATCTGGTGCACATTGGTGTAAATCCTCACCACTTTCTGATCCTACTGATGAAGATGAAGCCTCTGATGATGCAGTTGGCTTGGTAGTTGGTTTGGATGTTGGTTTGGATGTTGGTTTGGATGTAGGTGATGTTGATGGTGTTGGAGAAGGAGATTGTGAAGGAGTTGGTGTTACAGCAGATGATGATTCCGTAGAGTTTGACGAAGAACCTGCATTTTCATTTGCCAAACTTGTATAAATGTTACAATTTAAAATTAAAAAAATTAAAAAACAATAAAATAAATGTTTTTTAAAATTTTTCATTTTTTTTTTTTAGAAAAAAGTATTTTATATTTGATTTATTTTTATATGTTTAATTAATTATTATTACTTTAATATTTTATTTATATATATGATTTAAAATTTTACTCTTTATTTTTTTATAAAAATACTGATGATTAATGTACACAAAAACAAATAAATAATATTTTGTATTGGGATGAAACAAAAAAAAATAATAAAATTAAATAAAAAAAAAATATTTATTAAAAAAAAAAAAAAAAAATTAAATAATGATTAATTAATTTTAAAATAATAGTAGATAAGGAAAAAATACTTTATAACTGTTTTTTTAAAATAAAATGATTATTTTAATATATTATTATATAAACAAAAAAATATTATTATGATTTTATTATGATGATTATTAATACACTATTCTTTTTAAAGGCAATGATGTAATCAATTATATAATATTATTAAAGTATATTGTATTTATATTACTATTATATAATTATAAAAATGAAAAATAAAAAAATAAAAAAATTAAATAGATTATTTTAAAAATAAAAAATAAATATATATATAATTTTTTTTTATTCTAAATATTGAATAAAATTATATAAATATATATTAAAGAACCCCTTTCTATATAATAAAAACTAAATTTGTTTTGAGTGTGTGGTGTATGTGACGTTTTTTTTAATGAGTTATACACATATGTGAAATTATATTTATTTAGGTAGGAAAAATTTAAAAAAAAAAAATGGTGGGATGTATCACCCACAATTTAAAGCACACATACACAATTTTTCAATTCACACACACACATGACATTTATATAATTTTCTGAATCAAATAACTGACTGGTATCAATAGTATTGTTATTTTAAAATTTTGTGTGTTGATTAATTTGGTGAGTAAGGGGGTGTGAATATGTGGTTCACATTAAAAATACACATATAGTTTTTAAAACAATAAAACAATAACAACATTAATAATAAAAAAATTAAATTAAAAGGATTAAAGTGTTTATTTCTTTAAAAATTATTAGAATAGTATTGATTTGTTGTTATTGTGTTATTGAAGTGAAAGTGGTATTAAAATGCATCAAATATGGGTGTTTTAAAAAATATGCTATGCGAGAGTGTGAACGTGTTTGTAATTAAGGATCCAAAATAGAAAAAAAAGTGTTGATTTAAATCTGATTAAAATATATTTAAGAAATTGTTATTATATGATTATTTACAAGTGATTCCACCCAAATTTTTTTTTTTATTTACATTTTATTTATAAATTTTATTTATATTACGAGTGTTGTGCTAATTAAATATACAAATATGACTATTTTATGTATAATGATATACAAAAAATATTCTATATGGTTATTGTTTTTTATTTAGATTTTTAAATTCTTCTTTTGTAACCGTTGTTTCAAATAAACCTTCAGTAGCTTCTAAATAGTTATTATATTCTTGAGTATTTGGAAATTGGCTATTTTCACTTTGTTGGCTACTTGCAAAACTGGTTTTTAATGATGGTTTAAAATTATTGATTTCTTGATCAGGATCAGGATCATTATTATTGTTATTATTATTATTATTATCTTTTTCATTATCGCTGATAATAATTGATTCATCTTCGTCCTCCTCTTCTTTTTTAAACTGTTTATTATTTTCATTTTCGTTTTCATTTTCGTTTTCGTTTTCGTTTTCGTTTTCGTTTTCATTTTCATTTTCTTTATCTTGTTTTTCTGTTTCTGATTGTTCCTTTAGTTCATCAGGTATTTTAATTCCATCCTCATCTAAATATTTTAATGGATTGCTGTCATCTGGATCATTTTCACCTTGTGTTGTTGTATTGTTAAATAGTATTGTTGATTTAATATTACTGCTAAAGGATAATGGTTTCGATATTAAGTGGTTTGAGGAAAGTTGACGTTGTTGTACTTGAATTGGTTCATCAATACTTCTGGCATCGTCATTATCATTATCGTTATTATTATTATTATAGCTTTTATATGGTGAATCGTCATTGAATCGAATTGTTCTTTTCGGTGTTTTTTCATCCAAGAAATTAAATAGATCTCTTCCTTTTTTAATTGCACTGTTTTGTTGATACTCTCCATCATTGTTTTCATCTTCATCATCAGCAGTTAGAGTACGGATTCTTCTTCTTGATTCTCTTCTCTTTTCATCCTCTCTGAGCTTATCCAGCTCTTTCCTTCTTGAATGACCCTCTTCTTTAATATCATTCTGTTGTTTTTCACTAACTTGTTTATCCTTGATCTTTTGATTTGGGTCTAAAAACTTTTTATTTACACCAACATTTAATGATAATAAATTATCTAAATCTAATGAGTTGCCCCATTTTGGTTGAGATGATGCTTCGCTATCTGACTCATCGCCCTCTTCATCTGAATCTTTAAATTTTAGACTGGTTTTTTTTTGCGATTTTTTAGTTTTGGTTGATGTGGTTGTTTTTTGCTTTTTATTAGGTGATTTTGATTTTGCTGCTGGTTTTCTTTTTGCACTATTACTCTTTGATGGTGATTGTGTCGATTTCTTTTTGGTCTTTGGTTTATAATCTGAATCTGATGAATCTTCATAACTACTATTTGATTCCTCAGAACTACTTTTAAAATCTTCATTATCTTCAGCCTCTTGACCAGAACTATCATCTTGTTTATTATCATAACTGTCATTTTCTGAATTTAGTTCCTCTTCCTCCTCTTCCTCCTCCTCTTCTTTTTGTTTTCTTTTATTTGGTGCTATTGGTTTTTTAACAATATTTTTTCTACCTCTTGCTGATCTTTGTGACCCACCAGACGATGATTTCGATGCTGACCTTCTTTTTGATATTTCTTCTTCCTCTTCTGAGACATCTTCGCTCTCTTCTACGTCCTCATCATCTTTTTTATTTTCTTTATTTACATATAGTGGGTTTTGTTGGGATGTTGCTCTTCTAGTTCTTCCTGCAAATGGTAATAATTTTTCGATCTCTTTCTCTTGTCGAGATAAACTTCCGCTGCTACTACTACTTTTACTACTACTTCTTGGCATTTACAAAAAATATTTTATATATAATTTTAAAAAAAAACTAAAATATTTTTTAAATAAAAAAAAATAAATAAAAAAAAAAAAAAAAAAAGATAATTTAAAATTTTTCTAATTAATTGCGATAATTCGAAATGAAAAAAAAAAAAAAAAAATTATTTTTAAATTTGAAAAAAATCAATAAAATTAAAAAAAAATAAAAATAAAAATAAAAAAAAATAAAAATAAAAAAAAAAGATATTACATCTCTTTAAACAACAAGAAATAAAATAAAATTGAAAAATAAAATGAAAAAAATTTATGTTTGAGTTTTATATAGTTTCTTTATTTACATGAGTTAAAATCTCTTTTATATATATTTTAAATTATATATAAATATTGGTTTTTTTTTTTTTTTTTTTTTTTTTTAATTTATATCTGAATATAAATGAGGAGAGAATCTATTTTTGAGTATTTTCTAAAACTTTTTCTTCTTCAAGATCTACTAATTGAGCTTCAATTTCATCATTCATATCACCCCAACCGAATTTACCATGTCCTTCTGCATTATTTGAAAAATGAAAAAAAAAAATAATTATTATTAATAATTTTTTAATAAAATAATAATTAAATACAATATTTTAAAAATAAAATAATAGCATACGTTTTTTATCAACACTTCTATAAGCTTGGCATGATCTACGGTCTAATCTGGCTTGTTTGTCAACTTTTTCTGAAAGTACCATTGTATGTGTATATGTATATTTATATTATGTATAATTATTTAATTATTTGCAGTTAATATATTTGTTGAGTATTTGTATGATTTAAATGAAATGAATTATTTAATGTATTTATATTGTTTTTAAAAAAAGATTTTTTTTTTTTTTTTTGAGACTCTTGTTGGAAAAAAGAAAAATTAATACTGGGGAACTTCCTTATATATTTATTTTATTATAATAATAATTAAATATAATTAAAAAAAATTAAAAAAAATTAAAATTTTAATTATTATTAAATGAAAAAAATAAAAATAAAAAATTAAAAATTAAAATAAATGAAATTCTATGATTGTTTATATATAATAAAAATTAATTTCAAATGAAAAATCTTTATTTTCCTTTTATATTGAGATAGATTATTTTTTTGGAATTTTTTTTTTTATTTTATTTTTTTTTTATTTTTTTTAAATTTTTTTGAAATCTACTCCACACAATAATTATTAAAAAATTATATTTTTTTTTAAATTATGCGAAATTCAAATAAAATAAACTTTTTCTCTCAATCAAGAATTGGTATAATATCATATCACACCACTCCCCCACTTTCATACTATATACTTTTATTTCAAATTAATATTTTTTATTTTTTGTGACTTTAAATTTATTACTGGCAGTTTTTCTTCACCCATTTTTCACACACCACACAATGATATGCAATAAAAAAAGATATTTTAAAATTGATATATTTCTTTTTTTTTTTTTGTGTTATGGGGTGGGAGACATAAAAAAAAAATAATAAATAATTAAAATATCTTTGGGTGTGGTATAATAATATTTTTTTTTTTTTTTTTGTGTGTTCGAAAAAAAAAAAATAAAAAAAAGCAGTTTATGAATGATTTTACCAATTCAAAAAAAAGATTGGAGATTCAACTTTTTTTTTAATAGATAAAAATGAAAAAAAAAAAAAAAAAAGGTAATATCATTGTGTACTTTGTTATAACAAATTTGTTGTGGTTATAGTTACCACTTTGTTTTTTATAATTGGTATTGGAGTTGTGTGTTTTTTTTTTTTAATTGTATTTATATGTTCCTCAGAAGAAAATGTATAAAAATTAAAATGACATTATAATAATAGTTATCATATCTATTTGTATTCTTTTAGTTATATGATTGTTATAATAATTATATTATTTTAAAATTACAAAACAATCTTTTTTTTATTTTTACTGTTTTTTAATCAATAAAATGATTATATAATCAATAAAATGATTGTTATTATTACACTAAGATTACACCATATAAACTATTAAATATAAAAAAAATTGTTTTGTAATTTTAAAATAATATAATTATTATAATCTTTATTAAATTTTTTTTTTCTTAAATAATAAATTTTGACCTTTTAAACAATCCACAAAAATTGCAACATATCATATCCTATTTCTAAAACCAATCCCCATTTTAATCCTAATCCCAATTCTTAATCCAATTTTTATCCAAATCCTAATCCTATTATTTATAATTTTATTTTATCTAAAAAAAAAAAGTTATGAATATTTTTTGATATTTTAAGTATTTTTTTATTTTATTTTTTTTATGCTTGGAAAGTATTAGAAACTGGTACATCTTCAAATGTATCTTTACCTTTAATATAATTTTCTCTATCCTTTTCTTTTTGTTTTTCTTTTTGTTCTTTAGTGTTATAATTTGATGATGATTCTTCACCTTCATCGGTAGTAATTTCATTTGCAATATCATTTTCAGAGACTTGAGTAGAAGTTCCAAGGGAACGTGGTAAGTTGAAATATAATAAAACTGTACATGCAAGACCAATACCACCAAAAATCCAGAACATTGTAGATTGGCCTAGTTTTTCAACAACAACTAAAAAGAAGAATGATAATATTAAATTAAAAGTCCATTGGAAAGCATTGATAACTGGGGCACCAATAGATTTACTTTTCTCTGGTAAGATTTCATTAATTACAAACCAAAACTATTATATTATAAAAATAAAAATTAGTATTTTTTTTTAAAAGTTATTTAAAAGGAACTATTACTTACCAAGGTACCAATAGATGCTTCGAATGCAGCAACAAAAATGAATAAGAAAACAATAGATGTCCAACCTTTGGCAGCACCAGATAAAGTTACAAAGAATAAGGCAATTAATAAATCACAAACTGTCATTACACCAGAACCAGTAAATAATAAAATTCTACGACCCAATCTATCGACAAGGAAAATAGCGATTAAAGTTGTTAAAACATTCCAAACTTGTAAAATAATGGCTGCAATTTGTGGGTCATCACCACTATTAATACCAGCATCTTTAAAGATGGTTGTGGAAAAGTACATGAAAGCATTAATACCAGTTAATTGTGCTAAAACAGCTAATAATATACCGAGGAGCATTGGTTTTCTTGTGTCTTTTTGGAATAATACAGTGAATTTGTTACCAGATTGTTGTTGAGTTGGTTCAACTAATTGTGGAGAGTTAGTTCTTGGTGATGCAGTTTGAGCAGCTCTCTTTTTACTTAAATAAACTGGTGATTCGGCAATAAAGCACCAAACAACAAATAATAAAGCACCTGGAATAGCACCTAAACAAAACATTAATTTCCATTGACCTTTAATGGCTAATGCTAAAATATTTGCAATTAAAATACCAACTGTAATTGAAATCTAAATTAAATAAAGATAATTAATTTTTTTTATAGTTTTAATTTTTTTTTAATTTTAAAAATACTTACTTGGAAAAATGAACCATAGATACCTTTCTTTTCGAGGGGTACCATTTCAGAAACCATTAATGGACATACACTAGAAGATGAACCCACGCCTAAACCATGAATAAATCTCAAAGCACAAATTGTTGGTATATTTGTGCCAAAACCTGAACCTAAAGCACCACCAATTGTAGTAATGGCGGTAAAAAGTAATAATGGTTTTCTACCAAACTTATCAGCTACGAAACCACCTGCAAATGAACCAATCATGGCACCTAATAAGATACTACATACGACAACACCTTTAATGGGGGTGGAAATACCAAATTTAGCCGTTATTGGATCAAGAGCCCCAACAATAATACCTGTTGCATAACCAAAAATCAAACCCCCTAAACAACTCTGGGTAACTACTAACCATGGTTTGGAAGATATACTTTTTATTAACTCTGTCATTATATATGATTATTATTATTATTCTCTGTGTTTTATATATATATTGTTACTATACTTTTTTTGCTTTATGTTGTATTGATAAATTATTTTCCTATTTTTTAAAATTAGTGATAAAAATTCTATTTTATAAATTGTAAAGTTAGTTTATATTTAAATAATATAATTAATTTTTGCAGTTTTAATATTATTTTGATTTTTTACAAATAATGATATTAATATTTATTTTTTTTATTTTTATTGGTTTTTAAATTTAAAAAAATTTTTTTTTTAAATTATGATTAAAAAAAAGAATCATTATTGTTATTATTATTATTACTACTATATTGTTATTATTATTATTACTATATATTGTAAGTGTTGGCTTTAATTTTTAATAAAGATCTAGTAATAGTTTTTATAGATAAAAAAATATCATTGATTATATTTAAATTTCTATATTGATTTTATATGTATATTAATATTATTATAATTATTATTGACCATTAATTATTACTATTCGTTACAATTATTTTGTTTATTATTTAGTGTTGTTATTAATTAATTGGATTGTTGTTTTTTTTTTAAAAAATAATAAAAACTATTTTTTTTTATTTTTATTTTTATTTAAAAAATTGGGGGTAATAAAAAATGCAATTGTCTTAAACAATCAGGTGCACAAAAGAAAATATAAATGATTAATATATATAATCAACACACCCACACAAATATACAACCAATACACAAAGATATACAAATAAAACACACAAAACAAAGTGATTATTATTTTTAATTTTCCAAAATTATTTTGAATTTTTAAAAAAAAAAAAAAAATATATTTTTTTTTAAATAATTACTTTTTAAGTTATTTGTGGGGGGCGCCTAGATTTGCGCAATGAAAAAAATAAATAAATAAAATTAAATAGGTTATGTCCCATAAAGTTTTAAATGATAATGTTTTAAATTTAAATTTTTTTTTTTTCTATTTATCTTTTTTTTTTTTTTTTTTTTTTTTTTTAAATAGAAAAAAATATAAATATAAACCAAAACCTATTATACAATGTACATTAAATAACAATACGTTATTATTTGATTTTAAAAAAAATGGAAATTTATATTATTGAATAGATTATATATGGAAATAAAATATACAATTTATAGATACACAACAATATTTTATATATTTATAGATAAAGATGGATATAGATGATAACTGTTGGAAAATTGAAAAAGAAAAAAATATTAAAAAAAAAAATAATTGTTTGCTCTGGAAATTTCAATAGGAAATTTTGAAATTATTTTTTTTATTTACAAATTTATATATATTAAAAAAAAAAAAAGTTGATTTATTTTTTGTAAAACACAAGCAAAAATATATTAATACAATTATTAAATAAACCAAACACATATTTCCTGATATTGTTTTTAAAAAATTAATAAAATAAGTGGTAATACAAAAAAAATTGTTTTTTACTAAATGAAATAAATTGGGGTAAAGGGTTAGGGGGAGTGTGGTTTATATATAACATATGCATAATACCAAATTTATATTTTTGAAATTTAACCCATTAACCCTACATGCGGGCACGTAAAAACATACACCCCCACATATAAAAATTGAAATTATTATGTGTTTTTTACGATAATTATTGTTAAGAGAGTAAATCAATAAATAACAATAACCAAAAAATAAATAAAAAAAAATAAAAATAAATAAAATAAAATATTAAAAAAAAAAAAAACAATATTTTGAAAATTTATATTATTTAATTATTATTTAAAGAAATTAAAGAAAATAACAATAACCAAAAATATCAAAAAAAAGAGAAGTCAATTACTAAAGATAGTGTTAATATGTGATAGCTACCTTTATTTTTAAATTTAATTTCGACCCACAATTACCTTATGATATCACGCGCTCCAAATCTTCAATTTCCATATAATAATTGTTTTTTATAACAGAAAAATATTATTATTATTTTTTTTATTTATTGACTACTACAATTATTTATTTAAATAAAATATATTTATATTATTACTTAAATGTAAAATTTATAATTTTATGTGTTTCTATTTATAATTTTTTATATGTATTTATTAGATTTGATATTTTATAAATGATGAATATTCATATTATTACTCTCTCTATTTATAGTTTTTTTTTTATTTTTTTGATATCATTTTAACCATTTTTTTTTTATTTTTTTTTATTTTTTTTATTTTTTTTTATTTTCAATTAATTTTAAGACACATATGATTATACAAGTGCAAATCTTTTTTTTAGTATTGTTTATTTTTACCATTTTTCAAATAATTGTAATAATTATTTTAATTTATTTTTTGTAACCGAAAATTACTATTATTAAATTTAAGTATTTATTTCAATTTATTAAAATTTTATTTTTATTTATTGTCTTGCAAATCAAATATTATTTTTACTTTTTTAATAAAATATATGATCATATTCTTGTCATTAAAATTCCATTAATTTATTTTTATTTTTAAAATTGAATTATTTTTGTTTTAAAAATAACCAATCAAAAAAAAAAAATTTTAAAATTATTTTTTTATAACTTTTTTTAATAAAAAGTTTTTTCTTATTTTTAATTATTTATTTTTATCTTTTATTTTAATTTTAATTTTAATTTTAAACTCTCTTATTATTTAAAAACAGTTTGTAATTGTGATTATTTTAATAATAATTTTAGGTTAAAAAAAATGAAAATTTTTAATTTAGATTTAAAAATAAATTCTAAAGTACTAATTGTTTTATTCTTTTCAAATAAACATTTAATTAACCAATATTGATTTAATAATTAAATGTTTTATTTTTGTTTATTTTACTTTTTTTATTTTAAATTAGTTTTATAATAAATATAAAAATAAATTTTATTATAAACTGCCTTGATTTTTTTTAATACGAGGATCATACCATGTGGTTTTTTTCATATCCTCCTGAACAAAATATTTGCTACCTGTTTCATCAGTTTTTTCTTTCCAACCCTATAAAAGTTAAATAAATAAAAAGTTAATAAAATTTTTTTTTTTTTTTTTTTTTTTTAATGATCCAATAATTACCTTTGGTAATTCACCATTACATGATAAATATATCTTTTCAAAAAATTCTTCTAAATTTTCACCATTAAATAAACGATTGTACTTGGGTCCAAATAATGAAGAGCCACCAATATGATAACCCAAACTTCTATATGATTCAAATTGAGCTTCGGTAAAGAATTGATCGGTAGTAGATTCATGAGGGAATGATGGGTGTTGAGATTGATATTCTTTAATGATTTCATCTTCATCGCCAGTTAATGATGATTTGATGTATAAAAGATATCCTACTTCGCCACTTGGTGGTATGTCATTATCTGTATCATTATCTGCACCTGGATTTGAACCACTATTATTGCTGCTGCTGCCTTCTTGATAGTTTGAAAAACTTTTTTTCTTTTGATAAATAATTTTACCTACTGTCCAATGTTTTTTTGAATAACCTGTAGCTGGATTACGTCTAATATCGTCCAAATTAATTTGAATATTGATACCAAAATCAATTCTAACGAGTCTCATTAGCTGAGCCATTGATGGGAAGGTCATATCAGGATCTGCTTCGGCATCGCTAATAATGATGTATTTGCAACGACGTTTGATTAATTCATAAGCACCTAAATTTTCAATGTGACCCCCATCGCTGAGATTAATACACCAATCTTTTGATGTCATTGGTGTCCATCCAAACTCTTTGACCAAATGATAGCATGCAAAACCACCATAAAACACTCTTCCAAGGAATGGGTGACTTAAAAATATACCTAATGGATTGGGGAGCCAATAACCTAAACGAATATTAAGAATACCTAAAGACATAACTAATGTTGGAATGGTTGCTGTACCCATTTTAGTACCAACAGCCGCACCACTAATTGAAACTGCAGTTGCTAAATCTAGACGTCTATCTAAACGCTCCATCTGCTCTGTTGAACGATAACCTGACGACTCACTACCACAGTAATGCTGAGAAAATATGAAGAAGTCCGAGCCACGAGAATTTGGTAACTCTAATCCATCACTATTCGATACTGAATTTAATGTTGTGTTGATTAATAAATATGGGGCAACTGATCTACGATTTAAACGGGATATCTTTTCACCACCATATGGTCTAAATCTACCATTTCTGATTGAAAACATGTATGCTTTACTGAGACGATCACGGTAATATTTGTGCATTGATGTTTCATTGATATCCAAACTAAAGAAACTTAAAAGAGATATAAAGAAGCACATACCATTCCCAATACCAAACAATGGACTTGTTGAATCTAACCAAACACTTAACTCTAAATAAGTAAGTATTAACAATATTGGACCAATAACACTTACTATAATATGGAATACCAAACGTTTCCATGGTGAAAGCTTTGGATTTGTCAACAAAGTAAATGCCAATGAATCTGCTAGAATTAATGCAAACAATGAAATTAATGGATAGACTCTAAATGATGACTCGGAAGCACCACCAAAGTAATAAGTATAAACAACCTCGATCAATGGAAGGGACTCGACAAAGGCACCAGCAATAAGCATTATAAATAACCAGCCAAAACTTCTATCGTACCATACTTTACTTCCTTCCTTTCTGAATATCATTGGGAAATTTAAATATAAATGTAATATTATAGAGATTCCCAAATCGATATTGCTAATCTTTGAAAAGTATTTTGAAAGCTCTGAGTAATAAAAGGATACAAAAGCAACCAATACAGGAATTGTAACTTTAGGTCTTGAGATTAAAGGAAATATAATAATGTGAATTAATAGATTCCATGCAACTCTAAGTGAAATATGATAACCCTCGCCAAATTGAACTGGTACATAACGTTCGAATAACAATAACACCCAGACGAATGGAAATATTGAAATTAGATTTAAAACGATACCACGCAAGATTAATACTGGAAATAATAAAAATTCAAATATTCCATTGGCTAAATAATTTGCACTGTTTCTTAAGTGAGTTAATGGTGTACCTTCTTTTAAACCTCTGCCATAATGAAATGGGAAGTTGTGCCAATCTGTGGTATAAGTTCCTTCGCTAAGTAATGATATTAAACATGACCCTATAAAGCCTCCACCTGAAACTGTCGATAGGTAATCCATTTTTTTGAATAGCTTATGCTTTGATAATGCTTGGAGTAAACCCAAATTAAATGTAGCTGATCTAATACCACCACCTGATAATGCTAACCCAACCAATCCAAAATTTGTAGATGGTTGAACTTTTGTATGGTTGTATGAGGGAAAAGAACTTGATGATGATCTTGATGCATTTGAAGCCATTGATGGTTGGCTAGTTGAACTTGCATTACTTTTTTTAGATTGATGGTCATCTTCACTATTGTCATCATCTGCCTCTTCTTCAATATATGGTAATTCTGATTCTGATAATGAAGCACCAGTTGCAACATTAGTATTGTTATTATTAAAGTTACTAATTGTAGAGGATGAAGTTGATTTAGTTAAAGTACTATCTTTTGTATTATCAATATTATTTTCTAAGTGGTGATCTAATGCAGCTGTTCCGGACCATGTACTACGTAATGTTTGGGAGTTACTAAAAGAATTTCTTCTTTCAATTGGACTGGGTATATTACTGCTATTATATTTAATATCAATATTATTGTTGTTGTTGTTGGTTATATTATTTTCTAAAACTGTTGTTTTTGAAATTTCATTTATATTTTCTAATGTAGGTGGTTTTGGTAATAAATCATTTGATGCTCCAATAGTATTTAATGCTTTACTTCCAATAGAATTATAATTTAAATTATTAAAATCGCTATTTACAACTTCATTGTCACTATTATTACTTTTTAATATATGTGGATTAATATTATTATTTGGATTTGTATTGTTTATAATTTCATTTGTTTCGATTGTAGTTAATTTTTTTTCATTATTATTATTATTATTATTATTATTATTATTATTATTATTATCAAAATTAGTTATATTATTTTCTAAATCGCTTGTACTTTCATTAATTGAAGGTGATAAAAATAATGGTGATGGTTCTTTTTCTAAACCTGAGGAATTTAAATGTTGTGGTGTATGAAATACAACTTGTGATGATTTTTTTTTAAATTTATTAAATGGTGGTGGTGTTGAAGATGTTGAATTTGCCAATATTGATTTTCTTAAGGCACTTCCTCTTGAGGACGATAAAAACCGCGATGATGATTGATTTGAAGTTAAAAATGCATAAGCTGGGAACAACTTTGAAATATGAAATGGATCTCTTTCTTTTAACACATTCACTCTTCTTTTTGCTAGCTCTTTTAGTTCTTCGGGAAATATATCTGCAAATCTTTTTGGTTTGGTATTTATCATTTGCCTAATCATTAATAATGGATCACCGATACTATCTTTACGTTTCCTTTGATTTCTACCCCTCCATTCTCCTGATGATATAAATTCGTATAATCTAAATACAGCAATAATTAAAAACACACCTATCATCATTGCCATCCATGGTTGAACTTGAAACTGTATAATCTTTCCGATTGTTATATATATATGACCATTTTTAGTATTTATAAAGTTACTGAAATAATTATCGCTATTACTATTATTATTAAAAAAATAATTTAACATTATATATATTGTAATAGAAATTATTTTTAAAAAAAAAAAAAAATAAAAAATTTGAAATTAAATTAAAATTTTAATTAAAAAAAATAAACCATAAAAAAATTTTTTTTTTTTAATTCAATTTTTTATTTTTTATTAATTTTTTTTCTAAATTTTTTTTTTGGGTCACAGGGTGGTTTTTGGAAGCAAAAACCCTCTACAAGAACCGAAAAACCAATGTTCAGGGACAAGTTGCCAATTGCCAAAAAAAAAAAAAAAAAAAAAAAAAAAAAAAAAAAAAAAAAATTAAAAAAAATAAATAAAAAAATAAATAAAAAAATTTTATTTTAAAAAAAAATTAATTTCTATTTATTACCCCATATTTTATTATAAATGGAAATTATATTTATAAAAATAAAGTAAAAAAAAAAAATAAAACCATCAGAAATTCAATAACATCATTGTGATCCTTTTTAATTTAAATTTTAAATGTTAATTATAATAAAAATAATAATATTTTAAATAATTGTTTTAAAAAAAAATAAATAAAAAAAAAATTTATCTGTTTTAAAATTGAATAATTGTTAAATGACATTTGAATAAAAGATAAATTGAAATTAAGGAATTCCTTTTAATTATCTATATTTTTTAATTATTATTACAAACCTTTTTTTTTTGTCTAATGGAAACTCATTTACTCTTAGTCCACCTGATGGCCATGGTAAATTTGTTTATTTATTTCTGGAGTTTTTATAGGATTCATTTTTAAAGTAAGAAATATTAATGTAAATATAAATTAAAAAGTTAAAAAATATTTATATAAAAAATTAAAAATAAAAAAATGAATGAAATCATAAAAAAAATTAAAAAAATTAAAAAAATAAAAATATTAAAAACACATCAATTTTTTTTTTTCAAGATTTTATTTTTAAGGGAGTGTGAATAATAAAAAAAAATTTTAAAAAATGGTTTGAGGGATTTAAAATAATATCTTTTTTAAATTTACTTTAAGTTTTAAAGTATGTTAACATATTTTTTATTTATTTAAATTTAATATTTTAATTTAAATTTGAAGCTTTAATTTATTTTTTTCTAAAAAAAATAAAAGATGAAGTGATGAAAAAAAAAAGAAAATTTGAATACCAAATTATTTTTTTTTTTTTTTTGTTATGATTTGAGTAATGGAGTTTTTTCACTGATTATTTCAGATGATGACGATAATGGTGGTGAAGCTGAGGTTACTGTTGTTGTATTGGAAATTTGATACATTATTGGTGGTTGTGGAGTTTGTTGTTGAGGAGCTTGTTCTTGTGGATAGCCATGAAAGATGTAAATTCTATTTACATAATCACGATGGGTTTCAAATGCCCTATCGTTTCCTTTTTGATGATATTTATATTTCTTATAAATAGTAATTCCTTTATGCGAATATTTAGTGTTTAAATCTTTAATTAATGCATTAAATTCAATTTCAAGCTATAATAAAAATAATAAGAGTATTAATATACTAAATAACAATATAAATCGATGGACCGATATACTAATCTACTTACATTGTATCTTCTTTTGGCGAAAACTGTAATTAAAATTGTTAAATAAATAAATAAACCAATAGGAACAGTAACCATAGCATGACTAGCATGAGTCAAAGTGAGAACCAATACAAATGGAATAACAAAGGCCAAAGATGAAATAATTGAAGCATAAAAAAAGATTCTGATATTTAATTGTCTCTTGTTGATTTGTTTTCTGCATTGGGAATATATATCGAGATATTCTTGAAAAGTGAGAACATTTTCTAATTGTTGGGGAATATCCTTTGGTCTAATTAAATACTCTGATTTCTTATTAGATTTAAAAATATAGTTAAAATCTCTTTTTTTATATGGAATTTTATATTTATTTGGATAATTTGGTAATTCGAAATTATAGTTTTCTCTATTATAGTTATTAATCATTTTTATTCTTTATTTTTTTTTTTATTTTTTTTTTTTGTAATCTATTTTATTGAAAAAAAATAAGATTTTAAATTTAAAAACTAATTATAAAAATATATTTATACGAATATGTGTATGTGTGTATTATTTAAAATAATATTGTAATTGTATAGTTAAATGTAATGATAGAATTTGAGATAATTGTATAGGAATAATAATATTGAATATAATTAGTATAAATGAATAGAAAAATAATAAAAAAATATTTTTTTCCAAATTTAAAAAAAAAAAGCAATATTTGAAAAGTATTAAAAAATAGTTTTTTATTGGATTCTATTTTATTTTGGTTTGAAGACTTTTTTTTTAAAACTTTTTTATTTTAAAAAATTTTTACAAAAAAAAATAAAAAAAAAAATAAAAAAAATAAAAAAAATAT